GCTGATCGATGTTTCTCTCTCATGGATGTTTCTAACTCTCTATCCCTCTCCCTTCCTCTCTGTAAAAAACCAATAAAATATATTTTCAAAACAAAACAAAACAAAAAAAAGAATAAACCTAGCAATCACTTCTCTTAATATAATGCAGCTCAGATTTTTCTTAGAAAAGAACCTCTTGGTGACTAGAAGTAATTTTGTCAGAAAGACGGTTGTTTCTCTATCGACTATGTGAACATGAGCCTTAGCAAATACTGTGCTCTCAGAATTCAGTCATGGGAGGACAGTGCCTGTCAGGTGGGGTGTGAGATCTCTTAGAGGCTCTACCGGTCCTGACGTAGGATCTGCCCAGCGTCCGGCTGAGTGACTCTGCTCCCTGGCATTGATCAGCTCACTTAGTCTGAGCATCAGTTCTTTTTTTTTTTATAACTAAAGAACATTTATTTGTTTTTCACTAAGACTTTATCTTAGCACATAATTAAACTGTCACTACCCCCCACCCCAACTTGAAGAAGGGTTAGTACAGTGAATGTTATAAAGCAGATATGAAGGATTGGAATCAACATTAACTGACAAATCAATGTAAACTGCTCTCTAGGTCAATGCCTTGCTGCCCACGGAAACATTCATTCCCGTGATTAGAGGGCTGCTGGGCAACCCCCTGCCGTCTGTCCGCCGGAAAGCGATGGACCTTCTGAACAACAAGCTGCAGCAGAAAGCGTCCTGGAAGAAGAAAACCGTAAGTGACGGCGCGTCCCACCCACTCACCGCCCTGCGGTGTCCGAGCTGCCTGTACCTCCCTACCTCCCTTCATGGTACAGTCCACATACGTAGGTTGTTACCTGAATATACTGCCGTGGCACGCGTGTTTTCAAACAGGAAAACAGGATTGTAGGAGTAGAGATATATGTCCGTGGAGCTCTTAGAATGAATTTCAACTCTAATAGAATTCTTGCTTGATGTGGACCCCACACTGGCTCGGGGACAATTCTCATTCACTCTCTTTGCAAACCAGGAGATGTTTCGTGTGAACTAGGAACTGTTCCAGCACACGCATTGCTCAGTAGCAGCGAGTCCATTGGCGGAGGTCACTGTGTGTGATCATGTGGCTCAGGCCTCTGTTGGGCAGTGTCAGCAGTAACCGTGGAAAGTAAACTGGCAGTGTCCTGGCAGCTTTAATTATTGGGGAACTTTGCTGTCCTCCTCAGGTTTACCACTTCCTCAGACTGGTTCCAGTCCTTCTAGCCATTGTGCAGCGTAGAAAAAAGGGGGCCGAAGAACAAGCGGTTAACAGACAGACAGCTCTGTACACCCTGAAGCTTCTATGCAAGAATTTTGGTGCGGAGAATCCAGAGCCTTTCATCCCGGTGCTGAACACGGCGGTGAGACTGGTCGCTCCGGAGAAGAAGGACGAGAAGAACGTGGTGGGCAGTGCCCTGCTGTGCGTAGCAGAGGCGGCCTCCACCCTGGGGCCCCTGGCTGTCCCACAGCTTCCCAGGTGCGCGGTGAGGCCCTGAGGGGGCTCAGCTGGTGGGAAGTGTCATCCCATACAGCGAAAGGTTACGGGTTCCATCCCGTTAGGGCACATATGGGAGGCAACTAATCAGTGTTTCTCTCTCACATTGATGGTTCTCTCTCTTTCCCTCGCACCCTCCCTCTCTCTCTCAAATCAATGAAAACATGTCCTCGGGTGAGGATTTTTAAAAATTAATTTGCTAAAGAATTGACCTTCAAGCTGAAAAGCACACCATTCTCACTTACCTTCATGGTGTTTCTTGTCCCCGTTTTCGATCCCCTCTGACCAGCTGTCATTAGGAAGCCACAGGTAAGGCAGACTGGCTGTCAGCCTGCAGGGCACTTGGCTTTGCTGCCTGTGATACCGAGACCGCACCCACCTGTGGGGTTCCGTGGGGCAGAGCATTGAAGGCTTTTTACACAGGGCCAGACACAAAGCAAGCGTTAAGTGGAAAGGCGTTATTTTTTAAATGAGCGCTGTCAATACTATAGGCACCGGGACACGTCTTGCTCTTTGTCACAGAAACTATGTAGACGATGTTTTGTGGGCTCTGACGTACACAGTGGGTAATGTGGGCACCAGTGTGGGATTTTTTTCATAATGACTTATCCTCCCTTCTCTACTGTTTCCGCTTAAAGTTAGTCTAAAACATGTTCTTTCTTTCTAGCCTGATGCCCTCATTGCTGACAACAATGAAGAACACCAGCGAGCTGGTCTCCGGCGACGTCTACCTACTCAGCGCCTTAGCGGCCCTGCAGAAGGTGGTTGAGACTCTCCCCCACTTCCTCAGCCCCTACCTGGAAGGCGTCCTGGCACAGGTGAGCCCCGAGACCACAGGTGCT